TGCGAGACACCATACGCATCCCGCCCAACTGATGTTCTGAGAAGATCCTGTTCCTGATCTCTAGGTACCGCCGCATCATCTCCGCCTAGGGTAAGAATAGTAATTTGGACTTATTACTATTCTTAGAAGGTAAACATTTATTTAAATCTACCAACTCTTCTTCTATGCGGGACTTCTGTCTGGACGCATTCTCTCCGCCCTCGGATCGCCCAGCCGACCGTTTTCCGCACTATCCGGACATGTGGTAGACACGGTCTCTGGCTTTCCACACCGGTAGCAGAACAGTCGGCGTTATGTTGCTTCGCAGTCACGGAACCTGTGATCCACGACTCCGCAATTTCAGCAGCCCGCTCAGAATGGATTCCTTCGTCCATCTCGTACCTCGGAGAATCCTCACCAGGATCTGCGCCAATAGCCTCGCTAACCTTGGCCTTATCTGCTGGAGGATACCGCATCGGCTGCGTGTACGCGGTCCGCCCAGCAGCACTCTTTCCGCAGTTCATCCACAGTAAGCACATCCATCGCGTAATAAGTCTTGCGATGCTCTCCCCCAAGCTCTTTTTTTATTATTTTAACCAGCTGTCGCTCTGACAGTGGCCATTTCAGGCGGGACGCTAACTACTGCATCGCGTAGACGTAATCCTCAACTTCTTCTCCGGGCTGCTGCTCCCTCTGCAAAAGTTGGTGCATCCGATCGTGCTCCGTCTGGTGGCATCGGAACCTATCCAACATTGGCATACAGGCGCGGATCCTCGCGGAAGTCTGGGGCCTTGTGGTTCTCAATACACCAGCTTCGGGCTGGGCCATCGTTTCGGGGCGACCTTCCATAGTCCGGAGGATACCCTGGACTGCTACTCTCCAACTCCTGGAAATCTTGCGGCCTCCTCGGTGGTTTGGGTGGCACCCTCGGCAGAGGTGGCTTGGAACCGTCCATGCCGGCGGCCTGTGTGCACTTTGGCACCGCACCTTCCGGGGCTTGGCCAGGGGCTCCTGCGGTGATTATTGAATCCGGACGTCTTCGCTCATCCGGCATGCTCTCCAGGGGAAGCTGAGGCCGTTGAACCGCAGGCCTTAACACCACGTTCATCAGCTTCATCATTTCCAGGAAGCCCCCTCGAATCTCGTCCCTCAACGCCTGATTGCCGTGGAACCAATTCCCTTAAGGATCTAATGCTGCCTTAAGTTCTGTTGCAGCTCGGGGTCCGGTGGCACTTGTTACTCTCGGTGCAATCCCTCGCGTAAACGGCCTAGCGAAGTCCTGGGCAACCCTACCGATATGCGCGGCAAGCCCGACTCGGTAGCACCCTCCAAATCCGTGGACCACATCTTTTCCTCGTCCTCGCCTGGAAAACCCTTCGACCGATTATTTGTAACCCTAACAGGACTTCTAAGACACAAATTTCCCGGAATTCAATGTGATAACTAAAAACCCCAAATTATATATTAATAAATAAATTATGCTCAATGCCAGTAAAAAATAATAAATAATATATAAATACCACCAAATAATATGCAAATTAATATTAATAACATGAAAACGAAATATAAACTTATATTACAAGGCAAATAAATCAATAAATAATAATTACAAATAAATAGTAACAATTAAATCAATAATGAACTATGTATAAATCAGAAATATTTATTTATATCAGAGAAATAAATTAATAACAAATAAATACCTAAGGCTTAACAGATTCACACAAATAATTAACTCCTAATAAAAACAAGTCCTTCAAGTCTAATTCTCACTAAACAAGCCGCTCGTCAACTGGACTAACTTTTAGTCATGCTGTGTAGCGCTTGCTCTAAAAAAAGAAAGGAAAAGATATGTTTATGGCTCCATCTAGGAATGGAATTTTAGGTATTATTAGCGCCATCTAGAGCTCGTCCGTAGAAGGTTCTGGCAGGGGTGAAAAGTCGAAAGGAGAGCAACAGTGGCATGTGTCAACTTTTCCTATAATTCTCCATAGATCGCTCGTTGGGTTACCGCCAACTTTCCGGCGGGGGATTCGGTCTTTCCCATTTTGGCAGCAGAAGTGTGAAGATTAAAAGGTGCAACTCGTCTTAATCCCAGCATTTCCTCAGTGTTTTTTTTTATTTAATCAGGAGAGCGAATGGGCGAGAATTCCAAGGCCCAAGAAGCGAAGGCAAGGCTACGAAAACCCAATATTGGCATTTACGGGCATTTAGTTGTGTAAAAGTTGTGTTAAGCGGGCATACGGCCCTAACCTTATCTCTAGCGTGCGAGCTGAGCGCCGCTCGTATGTAAAACCAAACGCACACCCACACCGAAAACGCACAAAGCAAATTCGTTAAAACTACCAATGTCTTAAGTTCGACAGCTAAGGGGAGATGTTCGATCGAGCACAGCATTAGTTTCGTTTCCCCTCTAATTGTCGTATAACGTCGGCGCGCGTTCTGCTCTGAACAGAGGCAGATAAACCTTGAATTGGCATCGAGCTTGGGCCAAATAATGCTGTAAAAAAAAACCCGGAAAGTTTGCCAGCAAAAATGTCCTAGCCAGGAAAAGTGGAATCCAGAAATTAAGTGATGATTTTTAGGTTAATTTATTAAGCTTTATTTTGTTAATTGTTAAATATGGCAGTGGCGGTGCGAATAACGATCTAGAAAACCCCAAATTGAGGAAAGAAAGAGCAGTGTGGTGTGATGAGGTGTTACGGCAAAATTGATTTTTTTTGCTCTTTTTATTGTGCACTTCAATTCTTAACCCCTATCGCTCATCGTATCCCGAGGAAAGCGCTTTCGTCGATTGATTGCATTAATTATCGGTGAGTGAGAAAGTTCAATTTGAATTCTGTATCATACAGAAAAACATACGTGTCCAAAGTAAAGAAAAAAAAATTAAAATTAAAATATTTTAACCTCAAACGTCGATAGAGAATGAGCAGAAAGAAAAATGAGTGAAATTTAAAGCGCTCCAATGTAGGAGAAAAAAACTCGATTTTGATTTCGACTCAATCGCACGGAATAATTAGTCTGCAGTCGTACTTTTTTATTCGTTTTAAATTAATTTCTTTAAATGCGGATTAAATTCCCCTTCCCATTGGCCTAAATTTTGATTTTGATTAAAAAAAAAGAAAGAAATATTACAAATTAATTTATGCATTTCTCACATTTAATATCTATAAGTTCTAATATATATATTACTTAATTATATGTCGTATTTATACATGTCCATAAGTAAATCTATTATTATGCCTAGTGTTAAGAATGTTTTTAGCTGTTAATAAACTTTTATAATGTTTTAAGAAAATATGAAATTGGCCGGGGCTAGCGACATGCAGATGTAGGGTAGCGCTTAAGAAAAGGGGTCGTTCAGGCTATTGAGCAGGTGGATGGAGCGACCAAATCAAGGGTGTGCTCGACTAGGCCTTCATAACATCTAAGGAGGCGAAAAGGGGAGTTCAACAGCATTAGGGGAGTTTTCTTTTTTTATAGCAGCAATAGTTATATGTGTGTCTTAATCTTTTCCGGTTCATTGTCGTTGCACGCGATTATTAGAGTAACATTATTGATAGGCAAACGTGTACACAAGCAAGACCACCATAGCCTTAGCCGACGAGCCGCCAGCCGGACAACTATTCAACATCTCGCCTGGAATGATTTACAGTGTAGCTACCCGTTACAGCTGAAAGTCGCCAGTTAGGGACTTTGGCTGTTTGCAGGATCGCATACGATTTCCTTTTGAATTTGGGCTTTTCATTCAAGTCGCGGTGGTCGAGCAGCGCGTGACGACGTCAAGGGTCACGACCACACGTTTAAGTTTAAAGCCGATATGATATGATAACAAAAATACTAGGAAAACCCAAGGATCTTTACAAAAACAAACAACCAAAAGGTAAACAAACATTCATTAAAATTACGTTAATAAAAATATATAAAAATATGTCACAGTTTTATCACAGTTTGTGGTACAGTCTTTCGTGCATATTGCACGGACGACCTGGGATGTCACCCCCAAGTCACAGCTAAACCCTGTGCACTGTGCCTGGGGGACAATTGTCCTCCCTCTAGAGGACTTGAATGACTTTTCTCCACCAGTCGTGGGCTAGCTGGAGGCATAACATGCGACAGGCCGTCGGTTCGGGTATCGCATATTTTATTTGTAAGTTTGGGCGCCATATTGTTACGGAACTGCATCTTTCCCGGAGGTCATTGCCTGCTGGCCACGGAGTAGCCCCTATGTCCTGCAGTCCGAACAATCGATTCCGACTCATCGGACGTCTCCCATCTCTACCTTGACAATTACCATCACTATCGAAAATCTAAACAAAACAAAGGTTTAAATACATCAAAAAAACTAAGACAATTGGACGAAATTAGTGGCTTTGGTGTAAATGCCACAACGCACCCACCCTTCCTTGGGTGTCCCAAGGGTTATGTTGGAGGCACACCCCATCTCCGGCAGACCTGAGCCCATCTATTCCTGGTGGATTAGGATCGGCTCATTTTCCCGCCAAAGGTAACTCACACAAACATTTTGGCAAATTGTTTACATTTAATTTTGGGCAGGATTAATAATAAAACATTCAGATTTAATTCTTACTCATAAACTACTCTTCTCGTTAGAAACACTAAAGGCCGATTATAGACCGTCCCCCAGATTAGAAGTGGTCAAAGCGGCAATAACTCAAGGGAAATTTTTAGACATTAAAATTATAAGTGTTCGGCAAAATCGCCACTGAAATAAACTATACGGCACCTATTTGGAAGCGATTGCCAACCGCGTCACCTAATCCTGAGGAGCTCCAAGGGAAAAGAAAGGACGTGGTGAAACGGGGTAAGTATGCTAAAGAAATCCCATACGTCGTTAAATTTCGCGACCCAATTTAGACATAGTTTGACGCGCGGCTAGGGTGCGGAAATAAGCCTCTAATTCCAGATTAGAATTCACAGTGAGTATTTGACCATATTTTTGACTGTATGGTTTTATAAATTGACTAAAATTTATTTATCGCAGGGTTGAACGTTTGTTTTGGTCGAAACTGCAGCAAGAAGAAAGAGACCGTATGTGGCCGTCTCGGAGGCAGTTGCTGGAGGCTTTGATGCCGCTGCTGTTGATGCTGCTGATCGCTGCTGCGTCTGCTGCTACTGCTGCTGTTCGCTGATGCTGCTGCTGATCTTCACACCAGGTTAGGTCCGCCAGGTATGTATTTTCCTTTCACGAGTCTTCTGAATTTCCGGGGCCTTTAGATAGGGTCCCCGACGGCTTTAATATTTTTAGAAATCACTGTTATTTATAAGTCTTAAACTTATCATTTATCACGTTAACTTATCTAAGCACCAATTATGAATTTATAAACTCCTATTTTTTTCCGACCGTTCGTCTTCGACTTTTTGCAGCAACTGACGTTAAACTCTGACCTACACCTAAGTCGTTCGCCATTTTCACTCCCGCTCTCCCAAAATGGGTTAGTGAACGCAATCAAGGCCATTTAACCCAGTTAACGAGCGAACCGGACTAAATTTAAATATCTAGATCCTCTCCCACTATAAACAGTCGGTGTCACAACAGAATCTTATCGATAGTGCAACCTGCTGACCTATCAGTTTGTTTTGGTATTTTCCAGACGACTTCAACGGAAAATGCAACACCACCCTAGAGACGCTAACATAGAGTTTTAGACGAGCACAGGAATACTTGGGGGCGTTTGGATTTGGACGCAATCGCCCCAACGCGGGGCCTACGCTTTACGGGAAGTAGATACATTCCGATTCTGAGCTCGTGTACTTTGTTGTTCATCTCTTCAGATCACAACCTAATATTCTTGGCATGGTACACTCCGATCGGTCGTCCTTGAGGATCCTCGAGCTCATACGCATTGTTGCCGACTGTCTTGACCACCCGAGCTTTCAGGAACTTCCGAGCAAACTTGGCATTTAAGGATTTTTTAAAATCGCTGATGCCAAAGTTGCGGCGATACACTTCCTGACCTGGCTTCGCAAGGACAGAACGAGCCTTTTTGTCGTACCGCAGGCGACTCCGATCGTATGCATTTTCGAGGCTCTTCTGCACCTTGTCATGGATCACTTGGAGTTTATCAGCCCGGGAAAAGACCCGCCATTTCGTTTTCACACAATGACTTCAACTTTCTTGCCAACTTGTAGCTGGCCATTTCAGAAACATGTGTCGTCCAAATACTGTGAAGAACGGAGCTTCTGGCATCCGTTGTCCGAATGCACTATTTCTGGAACGCCAAACTTGAAGAAAACTTCATGAATGAGGAACTCCACTACATTTGAGGCCGATGCCTCTTGCATGGCTTTCAGAAAAGTGTATTTGAAGAAGTGATCCACCAGAATGAAGATATTGGCCTGTCTCTGCTTCGACCACGGATATTTGCCCAAGAAATCGATATACAGCTTCTGAAATGGCTACTCAGTCTGGACTCTCTCACCGATACCAACTTGCATCCGGAAATTCGGCGATTTCGTCTCCTTACAGACTCGAAGTCAGCAAATAGCTGTGCTTTTAGACTCTAGGAAAACATCTTATTTCCAGTCTGCTTCAAGGATTTCATGAGCGGAGCTGCCAATGTCGCGAAGCTCTTTATATACCGACTGTACCAACTAGAGATAGGTCAAAGACTTGAAGCAAAACTTCGACTTACTCAACCCTATGGTTAACCCTGCTTCTTTCAGGCATTCAGCGTCTCGGAAAAGATACTTCATGTGCGTTCTCATGTCTGGCGCTAATATTAGCAGGTCATCCAAATAGACAAACACATTAGAGCGGATCTCAGCTGGAATTACCCGGTCCATGAGTCTCACCAGTCTCTGTGATGCGTTACAGAGTCCCAAAGACATCACACGGAACTGGTAAAGCAACCGACCAGGAACCGTAAATACTGTGCATTCTTTGCTGTTCGTGTCCAACTCAATCTGCCAGAAAGCGAACTTCAAATCCACGCTGGAAACGTTATACGTTTGGTCGTTGCTGGGCTACGGGTAAGCATCTTGACTCTACGGTGGTGTGACTGCTCCAGGGGCTTTGAATTTCCTCGACGACTCCGAGCGCTAGCAACTTGTCAGCTCGTCCTCGACCACCTTCTTCATCGCGGGAGACATCGGATCGGGTTGATCTTTAAACACTTTGGCTCCGTCAATCAGCTCAATCGTGTGCTTCTTCCGACTGGTGGTACCCATGCCACCCCTCTCGAAAGTCAAGAACTCCCTCGTCGTCATCCTCGACCTCAGCGTAGTGCTCCATCTCCCTAGCGTGTATTTCTTCGGTCTTCCTCATGCTTTCGGGATCGATGTGGCCTATTATTGCTGGAGCCAGTCCGAACTCTTGCCAATAATCCACTCCAAAATAAGCTGGCTGCTCCAGGTAAGGACATAAATAAATGAGCTTAACCCGTCCTATAATCGACCGATCCCCTCAAGATGCCGTTCGGACTGCGGATAGGTACTTCTGGACGGGCACATACAATGCCTCTACCAGCTCTCTGACACCTTTACCAAGCAGACTAACACTCGCCCCAGTGTCAAACAACCCCGTCAGTTGCTTGGTCAGGACTCGAAATGCGGCGAATGGTCTGGAATTTCGCGATAAACTTCGCTTCACGGCGGTCACTGCTTCGCGTCGGCAGTCCCGTCGTTTGCGAAATCGATCCCTGGCCTTCTCAACTTTGCGAGACACCAAACGCATGCCGCCCAGCTGAGGTTCTGAGAAGATCCTGTTCCTGATCTATAGGTACCGCCGCATCATCTCCGCATAGGGTAAGAATAGTAATTTGGACTTATTACTCTTAGAAAGTAAACATTTATTTAAATCTAGCAACTCTTCTTCTATGCGGGACTCCTGTCTGAACGCATTCTCTCCGCCCTCGCATCGCCCAGCCGACCGTTTTCCGCACAATCCGGACATGTGGTAGACACGGTCTCTGGCTCCGTAATTCTAGCAGCCCGCTCAGAATGGATTCCTTCGTCCATCTCGTACCTCGGAGACAGGTACCATTTCAGGCGGGACCAGTGGCCATTTCAGGCGGGACGCTAACTACTGCATCGCGTGGACGTAATCCTCAACTCCTTCTCCGGGCTGCTGCTCCTCTGCAGAAGTTGGTTCATCCGATAGTGCTCCGTCTGGGGGCATCGGAACCTATCCATCAGCGACGCTCAAAGCTGGGACCACCTGTCCACCCTGCAGTGAAAATTCCCACCGAGTTCCGTTCATAATCACCGTCGAAGGATACGCCCCACCGCTCAATTCGCCATTGCTGTTTGGCGGCTACCGGTCCAACATTGGCATACAGGCAAGGCTCCTCGCTGAAGTCTGAGGCCTTGTGGTTCTCAACGCACCAGCTTCGGGCCGGGCCATCGTTTCAGCGCGACCTTCCATAGTCCGGAGGATACCCTGGACTGCTACTCTCCAACTCCTGGAAATCTAACGGCCTCCTCGGTGGTTTGGGTGGCACCCTCGGCAGAGGTGGCTTGGAACCGTCCATGCCGGCGACCTGTGTGCACTTTGGCACCGCACCTTCAGGGGCTTGGCCAGGGGCTCCTGCGGTGATCATTGAATCCGGACGCGTTCGCTCATCCGGCATGCTCTCCGGGGGAAGCTGAGGCCGCTGAGCCGCAGGCCTTAACACCACGTTCATCAGCTTCATCATTTCCAGGAAGCCCCCTCGAATCTCGTCCCTCAACGCCTGATTGCCGTGGAACCAATCCCTCAATGATCTAATGCTGCCTTAAGTTCAGTTGAAGCTCGGGGTCCGGTGGCACTTGTTGCTCTCGGTGCAATCCCTCGCGTAAACGGCCTAGCGAAGTCCTGGGCAACCCTACCGATATGCGCGGCAAGCCCGACTCGGTGGCACCCTCCACATGCGTGGACCACATCTTCTCCTCGTCCTCGCCTGGAAAATCCTTTGACCGAACCAGGTGATCATGTGTGCTGCCTTGTCGCTTTTCCATCCTGATTATTTGTAACCCTAACAGGACTTCTAAGACCCAAATTTCCCCGAATTCAAAGTGACAACTAAAAACCCCAAATCCTATATAAATAAATAAATTATGCTCAATGCCAGTAAAAAACAATAAATAATATATAAATACCAACAAATAATATACACATAAATATTAATTACATGAAAACGAAATCAAAACTTATATTACAAGGCAAATAAATCAATAAATAATAATTATAAATAAATAGTAACAATTAAATCAATAATGAACTATGTACAAATCAAAAATATTGCCGGGAAATAAAGTAATAACAAATAAATACCTAAAGCTAAACAGATTCACACAAATAATTAAGTCCTAACAAAAACAAGTCCTTCAAGTCTAAATTTTCCGTCCGAATTCTCACTAAACAAGCCGCTCGTCAACTGGACTAACTTTTAGCCATGCTGAAAGTCGCCAGTTAGGGACTTTGGCTGTTTGCAGGATCGCATAAGATTTCCTTTTGAATTTGGGCTTTTTATTCAAGTCGCGGTAAACTACTCTTCTCGTTAGAAACACTTAAGGCCGATCATAGACCGTCCCCCAGATTAGAAGAGGTCAAAGCGGCAATAACTCAAGGCAAATTTTTAGACATTAAAATTATAAGTGTTCGGCAAAATCGCCACTGAAATAAAATATACGGCACCTATTTGGAAGCGTTTGATAACCGCGATACCTAATCCTGACGAGCTCCAAGGGAAAAGAAAGGACGTGCTGAAACGGGGTAAGTATGGTAAAGAAATCCCATACGTCGTTAAATTTCGCGACCCAATTTATACATAGTTGGACGGGGGGCTAGGGTGCGGAAATAAGCCTCTAATTCCAGATTAGAATTCACAGTGAGTATTTGGCCATATTTTTGACTGTATGATTTTATAAATTGAGTAAAAATTTTTTATCGCAGAGTTGAACGTTGGTTATGGTCGAAACTGCAGCAAGAAGAAAGAGACCGCTAACGGCGAAAACCAGCGCGAGTCCGAAAGGAACCAAATGGTCCGGAGGCTAGCCCAGCGTCTGCGCCAGAGGGGCCGGAGGCAGTGCTGCTGTTTGCTGATCGCTGATGCTGCTGCTGATCTCCAGGTTATGTATTTTCCTTTCACGAGTCTTCTGAATTTCCGGGGCCCTTTAGATAGGGTCCCCGGCGGCTTTAATATTTTTAAAAATCACTGTTATTTATAAGTCTTAAACTTATCATTTATCACGTTAACTTATCTAAGCACCAATTATGAATTTATAAACTCCTATTTTTTCCGGCCGTTCGTCTACGACTTTTTGCAGCAACTGACGTTAAACTCTGACCTACACCAAAGTCGTTCGCCATTTTCACTCCCGCTCTCCCAAAATGGGTTAGTGAACGCAATCAAGGCCATTTAACCCAGTTAACGAGCGAACCGGACTAAATTTAAATATCTAGATCCTCTCCCACTATTAACAGTCGGTGTCACCACAGAATCTTATCGATAGTGCAACCTGCTGACCTATCAGTTTGTTTTGGTATTTTCCAGACGACTTCAACGGAAAATGCAACACCACCCTAGAGACGCTAACATAGAGTTTTAGACGAGCACAGGAATACTTGGGGGCGTTTGGATTTGGACGCATTCGCCCCAACGCGAGGCCTACGCTTTACGGGAAGTAGATACATTCCGATTCTGAGCTCGTGTACTTTGTTGTTCATCTTTCCAGATCACAACCTAATATTCTTGGCATGGTACACTCCGATCGGTCGTCCACCCGAGCTTTCAGGAACTTCCGAGCAAACTTGGCATTTAAGGATTTTTTAAAATCGCTAATGCCAAAGTTGCGGCGATACACTTCCAGAAATGGCTTTGCAAGGACAGTACGAGCCTTTTTGTCGTACCGCAGGCGACTCCGATCGTATGAATTTTCGAGGCTCTTCTGCACCTTGTCATGGATCACTTGGAGTTTATCAGCCCCGGACGAGACCCGCCATTTCGTTTTCACACAATGACTTCAACTTTCTTGCCAACTTGTAGCTGGCCATTTCAGGAACATGTGTCGTCCAAATACTGTGAAGAACGGAGCTTCTGGCATCCGTTGTCCGAATGCACTATTTCTGGAACGCCAAACTTGAAGAAAACCTCATGAATGAGGAACTCCACTACATTTGAGGCCGATGCCTCTTGCATGGCTTT